CTCAGGAGGTTATGATGCATTCCTAACACGACATGAATCAGTCTTTTAATGCTCAATAAATTTCAAGATGGCTTTGTTCTTTCTCTGCTCTTCCTTTCCTTTCCTCACCCTCCCCAGAAAGCAGCACAACCTCGCATTTTATGTAACTTCTTAATGGGCATGAGCTAAATGCAAATGCTCTTGCATTTCCAAAAAACGAGTGAGTGCTTTTTCTTTTATTAATCGAACTTGCCCTTTACTGTCCTAAGTGAACAAACAGTGTAGTGCTCACGTACAGCTGTTACATTCTCTGTTTTCCTGGGACAGGAATCAGCTCCGTACATAATCAGTTAGGATTATAGAGAGCTATGATGAATTCAAGGGCAAGTGCTTGTTCGCCCATGCCAAGCCCAGGGAGAACATTATTCCTATGGGAAAACCTGACCCACTCTACAGTGTGAGCCTTAAGGATCATAACGTTGCGAAAGGCAGACCCTGAATGGAATGGTTCAGGAGTGAACCCACTTATAGCAAAGGTGAGCTCTGGGATTGAGACCCAGGCTGACCTTGTGTACCATGCTCTCGAATTAGCACCCAGCCCGGCCACTTTTCCGGGCCCCACAGGCTGGTGCCTTTGTTTCCCGAAGAGGAAAGAGCACAAACTTCCAAGGCCCAGGGCTCTAGCAGCCTCCTTCCCTGGACCTATTGGGGAGTCCCTGACTGTTGGGAAAATGGGCAGTCCAGCCGAGCCTATGGCAGGGTGGGCATCCCAGATGCAATTTAGGGTCCCATCACCCTGTCAAACCTCCCCCCCCACCTCTGCCAGGCTTCATGTGCCTCCACCGGCATGCTCACCACCAGGGCGATCGCAATGGCCTTAGTACCGTGGGGGCCCAGCCCATGGTGGTTGAGGTTCATGTAGGACTCCTCCATGTTCCGGATGAAGTAAGAGACAGGCACTACGCCCACCAGTTTGCAGGCCTCCATGTACAGCTCCTTTTGCCCGGTGGTGAAATATTTCTCAGTATCTGCAGAAAAAGATGTGAATTCTCTTCTGCCTTTGCCTTATCTCTTCTGACACCAGGCCATGTTCCCTTCTGACCTGTCCCTTGGGTGTCAGTTAAGAGGGCAGCTCCAATTGGGAAGTCAGCCAGCAGTGGGAGGGAGACTCCCGTCCAGAAAGCCTCAAATGGGCGTCTCCCTTTGGGATGACACAAGCCCCTGAGGTTAGGCCCCAGGCTCCCCTAGGAAAAGTAGCCCCACCGGCTTCCTGGGTTGGCCGTGTCCAGGGACTGATCACCCAGAGTGCATGAAGGCCTAGTCTCCCCTTGGGGCAGCTCTGAAAAGCCAGATGAGAAGCTGGCGACCTGTGATGGTTGAGGGAGTCTCCATTTCCCTTTTAGTTTTGCTACCACTGTTAAGATGTGAGCCATAACCAAAGCATCACTGACGACTTAGAGAAGTACCAGCTTAAAAAGCCCACGTAGGCTTCTCACGGGGGCAAATCAAGGCAAGATGGAGAGACCCCCAAACCAGCCAGAAACAAGGAAACTTGCATGTGAGTCGGCGTTCCTCTTTCGCAGACTTGCATGTCATTTTTTTCTTTAAAAAGATCTGTGATCCCTACTTTCCCAATGACAAAGCTAGCCCAGATTACACACAGTGCTCAAGGCAGTTGACAGACGAGGCCTTCACATCTCCATTCCAACCTTCTGGAGCCTTTGTCTGTAGGCTTTAGACAGCCTGGCCCGTGGGCAGCGGGCAGCGGGCAGCGGGCAGTGGGCCTGCCTGGATGCCGATGTCCCACTGGCAAGATGTCCCAGGCCAGCTGGAGTCTAAGCCTGTGTCTGTTTTTCCTTCGGATCCCAGGGCCTTTGGCCAAGCCACCCCAAACGTTTCTAAGGCGGACAGTGAGAGCTTTGTTGGTGATTAGACAGCAGCTTGACAAGAAAGTTGCTTTTGCAGGCACAGCTTCACATTGGCCTTCTCTCTGCGATGGTTATAGAGCAGGGTTTCTCAACCTGGGCACTACTGACCGACCGACCGACCGACACTCAGTGTTGGGCGTTCCCCGCTGTGAGGGGCTGTCGTGTGCAGGGCAGGGATGTAGCACAGTCCCTGGCCAGTAGCATCCCCCCAGCCCAGTTTGCCAAGTATTCCCTGGGGTGCAAAGTCACCTGAGGGAGAACAACACTCGCTGCATAGGAGAAACAGCATGAGGTGGCTGAGCAACTTCTGCTCCCTTCTCTCCCTCTTTTGCCGCCTCACACCAGCTTATATTCCCAGGGGCTCCTGTCTCAGGCCGTCCCGGGAAGCCCTCCCTGCCCCGGTCCCAGCTTCTCAGCCCCAGCTGCAGGGGCACCAGGAGTGGAGCCACTCTCAGCACAGAGCTGGCACCAAATGTAATCATTAGGGGTTCTCCGTTGCCAAAGCAGCATAGGGAGCCCCCAGCTGTGTCCCTGGCACTGATTCTGCTCTGATTCTGCTGACCCCTTCCAGCTGTATTCACTGTGGTTGTATTTTAGGGGCAGCTTGCAACGCTATTACCACTTGCAGGGGGTGGGGGTGAGGAGAGGAATGAGTAGAAGCAGGGGTTCCGCATCTTCCAACTGTGAAACATTCAGTGTTGAAAGCAACATTCACAACGGACTTGAAGTGGAAAAGTAGAAAAAAGAGCAACAACCTATAAATAAATTTAAAAAAAGAAAGAAAAGGAGAAAAGAGTAAAGAAAGAAAGAAGGAAAGAAAGAGAGAATGGGAGAGAGAGAGAGAGAGAGAGAGAGAGAGAGAGGAAAACAGAGCCACAAGCCACAAGATGCCCAGAGGGGCAGGGAGCAGGTCTGTGTGTGGGGTGAACAGTATGTTGACCTTGGCAGGGGTTAGGAACTGACTGTATAGAGGAATTTGACGGTTGGATTTGGCAGAACAGGCTCGCCTGCGTTTCTACCGCCTCTGATCACTGCCCGCCACCCAGCCGTCAGGACACAGGAGAGAAAGGGCCCCTGGGCCGGCCTCAGCTGGGAGGTGTGAGGCTGGCCCAGCTGGAGGGGCCGGCATTGTTCTCGCCTTGCTTCACATGTGTTCTTTGTGGCACTTCCCTTGTTGGGGAGACTGGGAGGAAGAGGAAGAGGAAGGTGGAGGGGCTGTTTGCAGTAACAGAGTCTTTGCTGCAGCTGAGACAGTCCCCCACCCTCACCCCCCATGGCCATGCACTTGGATTTGTCAGGGGCTCTCACGCAGGGGAACACAAACTCCAGTGTGAGGAGAGGAACGTCACCAGGATGCAGGTTGGGCCACAAACACGCCGGTGGCCCCTGGGATATGGAATGCTGGAGGCAGATTGGCAGGGTGGGGTGAACTGGGTGTCAGCAAGCCTTGGTAAGCTCTCGGTGGCCTTTGGCAACTCACACAATCTCTTTAAGCCTCAGTTTCCTCCTCTGTCAAGGCAGGTAATATAATGCCTCCCTCCTGGGGCTGTGGTGAAGGCGACACAAGATGCCACGTGTGGAAACATTTGTGACACCAGAAATCCCCGCTCATTGACTGGTCCAGCATTCAACAAGCTGAGGTGCCCACGCGGCTCACCCGCCAACTGGGGAAGTCAGGTCTGTCCCCCCACACCTCCGAAAGCCCACTTTCACCTTCAATCTCGAGGTCTGTTTCTGAACTCTCCCGGGTGGGTTTCCCTTTATCCGAGGCCGGGGCGGCTTCGGCCTCACAGTAGAGCGTTTCATCACTGCTATGTGGTGTCGCCTGGGTTCCAGTCTCCTCTAGAAGAAAAACGCATCTCCGTGATGTTGGAAATGAAACCCGCCAGCCTTTCAGGTAGAGCCACTTCCACTTCCCTCCACCTCGGTTTCCCCCTCTGCCTCCCAGGTCCTGGCTGCAGCCTTTGTCCCCCAGCTGCACGTGGCTCCAGACACCAAGGACTCCATTCTGCAAGCCCTTCCTCCCCAGCACTGCTGCCTCCCGCCCCCAGCATCCGTGGGGTCGCATGCTACCCCTCCTCGTGTTCTCTGGAGACTTGCTGATCTATTCCCCACTTTGGGCCTGACTCGGACTTTGGCTTCTTGCTCCCTCTTCTCTTTCTTACTGGTTTGGGTGGGGTTCAGAGTTGCTTTGCTCTGAATGATGGTGAAGGCCACGGGCAGGGCAGGCGACTCGGTCAAAGGTAAAATAAACCGGAACAGGAGCGGTCTCAGGAATCGAGAGGGATAACTGGATTCCTAAGACTTTGACGTAGCTTCTCCTCCTTCCAACCCTACATCTATTTTATGACCACGAAGAAGGCAGGGCTTGCAAAATCCCCCTGGGGTTAAATTCATTGCTATAATTAAATACACGTGTTCTGAGCTTCCCTCGCTTGCTAGACATGGACTTTCTGCCACTGGGCCAGTGATCGGGGACCAGCTGAGGGTTCCTGACAGCTACACGCAGGTGTCCACAGCTCGTCCTATATCAGCGGGAAGCAGTGGTTTGGGGAAGCCAGGCTGCACTGCCAGGTGGCCTGTCAGAACCTAAACAGCCTATCCTTCGGGTGGACTGAGCATTGGTGGCAGGGGTCCTAAGTTTTGACCACCCTTGTTCTAAGACGGGAGTTCCTAATGAGTCCACACAGGTCTGTGTCTTTCTTAGTCCTTGTCTATAGACCCAAGCCCCAACATGTATTTCCCAGCCTATAAGGTAAGGTCTGTGTAATAAGGGGTGGGAGTAGCTAGTGGCCTGGTAGTTAGAAGACATACAGCAGATTAGCCAGAAAATTTAGCTATCCAGAGGTGATGACTTTCTGAGCCTTAATTTCCTCAGTAGTCAAACAATTTTAGAATTCCATCCAAGCTGTGGAACGCTGGTAAATGTCTAACTGGCTCTCCAGAAAAAAAAATTCTGATGTGTAGTAATGGCCAATTCCAGTGGTGTAAATGTTCCCGACATGGGTGATTTCAAACTGCCAACATGATGTAGAGCAGCTCAAAAAATGAAATTCAAAGTCGACTAGAACTGGTAGGAGCCAATTCTAGCACAACATGCATTCAACGCTCTCACTCCCTGTTTGGCAAGTCCCGAAGCCAAGTCAATGTAATACATCATCCCAAATCTAGAGGGTCCCAAGAAAGAAGGGCACTAGGTTTCTGGGTCCATGTGATCACTGGGTATTACACTGAGGCAGCCTGGAAGGGCTGGAGTGGTGAGAGATGGGATGCCTTTTCACCTGTTGTCTCAGGCTCAAGAGGTTCATCATTGTCCATGGTGCCAGGGGCCTCTCGGGGGCTGCTGCCAGCTTCTTGCCACCTTTCTGCTGCTTCCCTAAGAAGCACACCTGTCCATTCACCTCGGTCTCAAACTTTGTGCTCTCTGTTCTCACATAGACAAATCTGGAGGCGTGTGGTTATCTTTCTATCCCTGCAAGCCCTGGGGAGAGTGGGCTTTGGTGGGAACTGGGCATGTATGGATTTGACCCCAACTCTGGAAGAGATATGTACTTCCCAGAATCATCAGGGAGAGTGTCACAGCTCAATTCCTGGGAGCCCTGTCAAAAGGATGTCCATCTGCCTGCAACTTTATGACTTAGGAGCCACTTTCATTTCATCGGCAACATTCCATGACCTCATGCAGACATTGTGATCCATGTGAGTGGACCTGGTAACAGCAAGTCTGCCACCCTCTTGGTGGCTCTGACAGTCATCTTTTTTCATATGTCTGCTGGGACCAAGCTAAGGCTTGGCTGTGATTACGAAGGTGCTGTGGGGGTGCCTCTCAGTGGTGGTGTATTTCCCTCTGAGTCAGGACCAAACCCAAGCCCCTCAATCAGGTGACTGTGAAGAGCTGCCACCATGTTCTTCTCTCAAGGTGGTTGTGCTTCAGGTACGAAATGTTTCAGTGATGGGTGAAGTCTGTTTTCTTCTACCCAGTTCTCCTTCCTTTGTTCTTTTCCCCCTTGGGAGAGTATCCTCAATCTTGAAGCAGAAGATCTAAAGCAAAGCACAACAAACATATGTTCTATCACTACAATTTGTTGCAGCCAAAACCTTTGTTCAATCCAAACTACTGGGCTGCCTAACTTGAAACCACTCAACCATCATTCCCACGCGTGGCTGTATTCACGTTCGTTGGAGTTGAAGTTCACTTGCAGTTTACTGTCAAGAGACTCTGGAGGCATGTTTGTTCCTTCTTGATAAGCTTTCAGCACATCAACGTTCAGGTCAGTGACTACAGGGCTCGGGGACATGAAAATGCCTCTTTGCCACTCAGAAGAATGATGAAGATCTAGGAATTTGTGTAGGGAAAACATAGATCCTTGGATCAAAAGAAATATGTAAATCTGAGATGTTAGTCATTTCTTCAGGCAATCAATCTGAAAAATATAGAGCAAGGCACTAAGAGAAGCACCATTGTGGGGAGGGGATGCAGACATGATTAACATGGAGCTTTCAGGGTATATTATATAACAAGAGAGAAATTGACAGGGCCACCTCTAGAGTGTGAGGATCCTGGGCAAATATTTCTGGCAGAGCTCCTGTTCATATAAACAACTCGAGTCACCCTAAATAAGCATGGTGATACCATTCTAGCGGTCCAATCTCATGTGGTTTCTTGAAAGATATATCAAACAGGCCAAGGGAGTGATCAACTCCTGGCATAATGTGGTAGGCACCAGTCATGGAGACCCTTGGATCATCTGGTCAACCCTACATTGATGGAAAGGATAAGAAATTGTCCTGGAAGGAGAGAAATTGGGACTAGAGAATATGTAGGTCTTAGTCTAACCTCTGGACAGGACAAGGTGGTCTTAGGTACAAAAGGCACATTAGAAAATTTGGAGGAAGGCATTCCAAATAGCCACTGGGCACAGGAACTGCTTGCCTGGGCCTACGAGCAGTACTGGGAATTGATAAGGAGGATATTCTCCAGGAGTTCAAGGAGGGTGAGGTTTCTTTATGTTGGGGAGCATTCATGGGCTCTGGACAAGGATAGTTTGGGGGAAAGGCTTTTGGACAAGTAGAGTCTGAGGGAAAGACTTTTATATTAGGTCTATGATCCATTAAATTTTTTTTATCAGGGTACTAACATAAAATCTACAATTTGACCCTATTAAAGTGTACAATTTAGTGGCATTAAGTGTATGCACAATGTTGTACAACCATCACCACTATCCATTTCCAGAACATTTCCTATGATCCATTTTGAGTTACTTTTTGTATAAGGTATGAAGCATAGGTCGAGATTCATTTTTGCATGTGGATGTTCAAGTGCTCCAGCACCATTTGTTGAAAAGACTGTCCTTTCTCCATTGAATTGTTTTTTTCACCACTGTTAAAAATCAGTTGACTATAGGCATTCTTTCAGTTTTTTTGTGGGGCTAGCATTTCAAAAACCATATAACCAGCAATATGATGCATTATCTATCAAAATATTATACCGTGGTTCCTCTTATCCACAAGGGCTTAGTTCAAGATCCCCAGTGGATGCCTGAAATCGTGGATGGTACTGAACCCTACATACTGTTTTCTCCCATATATACATACATACATACATATCTATGATGACATTTAATTTATAAATTAGGTACAGTAAGAGATTAACAACCCTATGTAATAAAAGGCTAATATGCAAATCGACTGAATGGCGGAACGACCGGTTGCTATGACGCACACTGACCACCAGGGGGCAGATGCTTAACATAGGAGCTGCTGCCTGGTGGTCAGTGCACTCCCACAGGGGGAGCGCTGCTCAGCCAGAAGCCGGGTTCATGGCTGGCAAGTGCAGCAGAGGTGGTAGGAGCCTCTTCCACCTCTGCAGCAGCGCTAAGGACCCCTCAGGGGATGTCTGCCTGCCAGCTTATGCCCACTCCCTGGGTCCTGGACTGCGAGAGGGCGCAGGCTGGGCTGAGGGACCCCCCATTCCCCAGTGCACGAATGTCATGCACCAGGCCTCTAGTAACTAATAATAGAATAGAAAACTTATAACAATATACTATAATAAAATTTATGTGAATGTGGTCTCTCTCTCAAAATGTCTTCTTGTACTGTACTTACCTTCTCATGATGATGTGAGATGATACAATGCCTACATTAGATGAAGTGAGGTGAATGACATAGGCATGGTGACCTAGCATTAAGCTACTGTTAACCTTGAGGAAGGAATGTCTAGGCTGAGACCTGAAGGTCCATCAGGCAGTAACCAGGTGAAGGCAGAGAGATGGGGTAGGCTCACTGGGGGAGGAAAGGTATTTGAGGGTGAGAAAAATATATACAAAGTCCCTATGGCATGTTGAGGGAGTCTCAAGTTGTTTAATGAGGCTGGAGTGTGATTCTCATGGGGGGAAGTGGTGGTGGGAAAGAAAAACAGAGATGAGATGGGAGGTGAGCAGAGGCCAATAATGAAGGGCCTTCAATGCTATGCTGAAGAGTCTGGCCTGTATTTGAGAATTGGGGGACGGGGGAAGGCTTTAAGCAGCAGTGTGACCTGACATGACTCGAATAGCAGGGAGACAGCTCTGGCTGCAGGGTCAAGAGTGGATTGAAGATAGGAAGAGGAGCAACATCAGTTAGGAGTGGCTGCAGGGATGAAGTGGACTGAATGAATATAAAGGCCAAACTACTTGGACTTGGGGGCAGATCAGATATGAAAGTGAAAGGGGAGATGTAAACCCAGGAGGCCAGGTGGATGACTGTGCCATTCCTAAAGAAAAGGACAGAGGAGCCAGGGCAGCGGTTTTTTGGGGGATTGTGGGGGAAGGTCATGAGTACTACTTTGGGTGTGTTGAATCTTGGATATGTCCCTGGGAAGTCCTATGGGAGATCCATGGGCAAAAGGATTCATGTGTCAGTAGCTCAGGAAAAGGTTAAAAATGTGGATGTGTGAGTTGTCAGTACGCGGATGGTACTTGAAGCCATTGGAGTGGTGAAAATTTCTCCAGGAAGAACTTTAAAGTAAGAAGAGGAGAGAGGCCAAGGATAAAATCCTAGGAACACCATCATTGAAAGGAGGAGGGCGGGGGTCGGAGGAACAGAAATAAAAGACACTAGGACAAAATGTCCAGAGAATTAGAAGGAAAACAATGTCACAGAAACTAAGGGAAGAGAATCTTACAAAAGGGGGGGGGGAGAGATGCAAAATTACAAAATATTCAAGAAATAATAAAGCCCGGAGAATGTCCATAGAATTTAGCAACAAGGAAGGCATTGGGACGTTTTAGTGGAGTGATGAGAGTGGAAGCTATATTTAGTGGAATGAAGGTGATGAGATGTGAGGAAGTATAGACAGCAGGAACAGAAAACTCTTTGAAGAAGCTTGGCTGTGGAGGAGAAGTGAGGAGATGGGGGGGGGGGGCTGGAGGGGGACAGGGGCTGAAGGAGGGTTTCATAATATAGGAGCAATTTGAGCAAGTTTAAATGTTGATGGAAAGAAGTCAGGGAAGAACAGGAGAGGGGTAAAAGGAGGAGCACAACCTCTGAGAAGGCAGGAAGGAGGGGACTCCAAGCCTGGTGGGGTTTTCAGTCACTGTGTTGGGAGGGAAGAACAGTTGGCTGTGCCTGCCAGACAGGGGCTGAAGGAGGGTTTCATAATATAGGAGCAATTTGAGCAAGTTTAAATGTTGATGGAAAGAAGTCAGGGAAGAACAGGAGAGGGGTAAAAGGAGGAGCACAACCTCTGAGAAGGCAGGAAGGAGGGGACTCCAAGCCTGGTGGGGTTTTCAGTCACTGTGTTGGGAGGGAAGAACAGTTGGCTGTGCCTGCCAGTCAGTGTGTTGGTGTGGCAACCGGGAGTAGAGGGACTTCACTTGGTGGGTCTACTTTTTCTCTAAAGTTGGTAGGGAGATGATCTTCAGAGAGCAAGAAGGGAGGCAATATGACAGCAAGTTTGTGGAAATGGGAGAGAAAACGAATTAAGAACACAGGATTGCTGGGGAGGGTTGAGGGCTGAAGTGAGGTTGGAGACCAGCCCACTAATAGCTCCAATCTGTTGGTAATTTTACACACCAGTGCCCAGCAGCCCAGATGTAAGAGCCAAGGAGAAGAATGGCTTTACTGAACCTGGGCAGGTGTAATCAAGGAATGGTGGGCAAGAAAATTGATATTGGGATGAGAGCGTTTTAAAGGATGCCTGAGGGGGATTGAAAGGTGACTAAGGGGAAGCTTGAGGGCAGAACAGAGAACTCAAGGGTTTGATGGAGTTAAAGAACAGTGTGCAGAAATGAAACTGGGAAAGGCAGAAAGCCAAGGGGTGACCCATCAGAGGGGGTTTGTGAATTTATGATTTCAGAGGTGGAGCAGTACCCAGTAATGACACATCATGGGTGTCTAAAGTACAGTGGGAATGAGGTCAGTGAGGAGGGGTGACAATGAGCTTCTAGGATTTGAGATGGCTCATCCACATTAGTAATGGAGGGAGGACTGGAGGCAGGGAATACTGTGAGTCTAATAGTAGTGTCTTTAATGAGAGAGGAGGAATGAGGTCAAGAAAAGACAAGGGTGAGGTAAACATTGATGAGTACTTGAGAAATCTCTAATGAACACATGACACATGAATCAGTGAGTAAGGGAGTGAATGAATGCATCAGCTTAGACCGATCTGGTATATTCTGGGAATATCTAGACATAAATCCTGAGATGCCAGAGGAAACACGGGGCTCAGAGAAGGCAAGTTACTGGGAGTGTATGGGTCTCAAGTTATCATAGAGTTACACATAGACAATTCTTTTCTACCTATCCTATTTAGGAGGCTGTTTGAGTCCTCTACACCTGCACAGGTTCAATATGATAGTCACTTACTGTAACTACTTGAAATATAGCTAGTCTGAATTAAGATGTGCTGTTCACCTGAAACACGTTGGATTTCAAAAACTTAGCACAAAGAACTTTTTAAAAAACTACTTTTAATATGTTTTTACTAGAGGCCTAGTGCACAAAATTTGTGCACTCAGGGGAGGGGGGGGGTCCTGGGGGAGGGTCCCTCAACCCAGCCTGCAACCTCTCGCAGTCAGACATCCTTAGCACTGCCACGGAGGCAGGAGAGGCTCCCACCACCACTGCTGCGCTCACCAGCCATGAGCCCAGCTTCTGGCTGAGCGGTGCTCCCCCTGTGGGAGTGCAATGACCACCAGGGGGCAGCTCCTGCATTGAATGTCTGCTCCCTGGTGGTCAGTGTGTGTCATAGTGACCGGTCTTTCCGCTGTTCCGTCGATTTGCATATTAGGGTTTTATTATATAGGATTGATTTCAGACAGAGGAAGGGAGAGGGAGAGATAGATAGAAACATCAATGATGAGAGAGAACCATTGATTGCTTGTCTCCTGCACACCTCCCCACTGGGGATCAAGCCTGCAACCTGGGCATGTGTCCTGACCAGGAATTGAAATGTGACCTCCTGGTTCATATGTTGATTCTCAACCACTGAGCCACACCAGTTGTGCCAAAAAAATATTTTCAGAACATAAAATATCTCATTTAAAAATGTTGATGACATGAGCTTCATGTTAATTTTTTTTTTGGATATATGGGGTTACATATATTAAAATTAATGTCACCTACTTTTTTCTTTTTATGTGAGGCTACTAGAAAATTTTAAGTTACATATCTGCTTCACATTATATTTCTCTTGGACAACACTACTCTAGGCCTTGGTCAGTAGCCTCTGAAATCCCAAGGGAAGCATTATGCCACCTTGTGTAGTTAACCAATGGATTAATAAAGGCAGCTCTCATATCGAATTTCCACAAATATGTGTTGGCAGAGTAAAATTTGAAAGCTCAAAGCATAAATTTCTTATATACAGGAAATTTGCCTCTGAAAGAACATTTTAAATTCCTCAAAGTATTGCAAAACCTTCCACTTGCCCTATTAGATAGGTCTGCACCCTTGAAACCACTCAATGGTGGACACAGATGTTTAGCATTGCTTCCACTGTTATCACAGGGGGGGTGAACTGAGGGGCTCATCGGTCTCTCTTAGAATATTTCTGACATCATGAGGCTGCAGATGGTGTAGGTTATACTTGTAATTTTCCTTTGATGGGGAAGCCTGTGTCTGCACTTCTCTAGGCCAAGTCTCCTTGGAATCTGTAGTCATGGCTTGCTTAGCAATGCCATATTGCAGTCTGAAGGGCCCTTATTTCTGCCAGGGATTGTAGAAGATGACCCTCCATTATCAGTAGCCAGAGGTGTTTTTGGCTTAAATTTTAAAAATATAATAGTAAACATTGAGAGCTTACCCTGGGCTGAGCACAGTGAGGTAACTAAGGCTCCAAGAGGTTAGGGTAACCTGAGAAGTTCCAAGGGTAGAAAGTGGCAGAGCCAGGATCTGGGCGCAGATGGTCCAACTCCAAAGCTTGTGATCCTTACATCATCCTACTCTTCCCAACAGATCGGATTATGGATCAGGAAACAAAAGGAGGCCAGCCGTTCTCCATTGGCCTCAGGAAAAGCCTTTGAAAGAACATGGCATCAATTAGCCTGACACCCTTTACCCATACCTGCAATGAATAGCCCAGCTGAGCTAGATCCTTCTGCAGAGGTTCCCAAAATGTAACCAGAATAACTTGGTCAGTTTTTAAGAGCTCCACCTCAGACCTGAGTAGGACCTAGGAGTTTTTATTTTTAAGACATTTTCCAAGTGGATAAGGAAACCCTAATTTCACAAAATGATAAAAATAGTCTCTAGATAAATACTTTGATTTAGGGCCTGGTTTGGAACTTGGATTTCTGGGTAACTATTGGGGCAAAATGGCAGGAAGGTACAAGGAAGGGCTATTTAAGCCACATCAAAGGCGTGGGCCTGACTTTGGGGGACCCTTAGGTAACATTTGTGTACTAGTTTCTAAACCTTCAGATTGCTCCTGGGGCTTCTGCTTCATGGGAGGCCAAGGCAGGCGTGCTGTTGCCTGAAGGTACACTTCTCGGGAGCTAAGGGAAAACAGCCAGAAAGCCACAATACTGACTCTTTCCTGCTTCCTCCTTCTAGCCTTTCAGTGTTATGATGTATCCAGCTGGTCCTGGATCTGGTGACTCCCCAGAGGGCTTCCCAGAACAACCGAGGCTGCAGCCACAAATTGGAAACTGCACAGCTCAGACACTGGGTACTGAAATTGGTAGTATGTATAGTCCTTCCTTCTTCAGTTGGTTGGGGCAGAAGACGGAGGTTGCAGAATGGGGAAGAGAGACGCACAGAGGTCTTTGGGTAGCATAGACTTGCTAGGGGACCTGGCCTTCCTTTCATGACTTTGTTCAGTCAACAAAGATGTATTTAGCCCTACTATGTGCCTGACACTGTTGTACACACTAGAGAAATACCTCAATGAAAACCAGCCAACCAACCAACCAGACTTGGTCCCTGCCTGCCCTTTGGAAGCCCCCTCTCCCCCTTTCTTGACTCCCTTACCAATGGGACGCCCCCCTTTATCTAGATCAGGTATAAAGAGGATCCATTTGAAACAGGATGAGGAAGGAGACAAAGGTGTGGACTCGGCTTGTGACCTAGAATCTGAGCTGGAGAAGACGGTAGGGTCAGGAAAAAGAGAAACATGGAGAATCGCTCTTTCCTTTCTCTGGGCTGAGAAGGGTGAGATTACAGAAGCCAGGGCTGGGTGCGGCCTTCGGGAAGCCCAGCCCCTCCCTCGGTTTACAGATGAGAAAACTGAAGGGCGTAGAGGTTACAGGGTGGACCCCAAGTTAGGGGGCGGGAGTGGGAATAAAATCGTATCCTCTGGGTAATACTAGGGAGCTTCCAGCGTGGCGCTCATCTGAAACTCCTGCGCTTCGCGGGCCTCCCGGAGCCAGGTCGCGTCCATTGCCATGGGAACAGGCCCCGCCCCCGCGTGTTCCACGGCCCCAATAAAGTTGTTGTTGAAGCTCAGCGGGACCACGTGAGCCGCCCGGGGCGGAGCTGGGGGCGGAGCCTGAGG